ACAAAATGTTACTTTTACAATTACTGTTTATTGCATCTACAGTCGTTTTTCAGGTAAAAATTATTATTATTATTTTTTTTAAAATAAATTCGGATACGTTTTAAAACATGAATTTAAGATAAAAAACAAATAATTTCTAAAAATATAAAATTATTCAACTCCCGTTTGAGTCACCATTTCTTTAAAGAGAATTTTTATTCATAGGCAAATGTTAGTAATGGTTATGTGCATAATGCACATAGTTCAGTGAGCAATTATTTGCAAAGCCTTCTTTCTCAACTTGGTAAGTTTTAATTAGTTTTTTATATTGTCGGTAAATGTGATGAGACAGTACAATTTTATTTCTTTAAAATAATACGCAAAGGCGGAAGTTATAAAAAACCTTCTACTACATCCCCTCTGACTACATCATCGACAACTGAGTACAAACTGGAAGAAGAAGAAGAAGAAGATGATTGGATACCAGATTCATTGGAAGGACAACTAGAAGATGAAAACGCAATTGCTGCAAGAACTACTACAACTACTCCAGCAACTGGATCCAGTTATAACCCTCAACAATATCCTCCTGTATATGAAGAAGAAGAAGAAGATGATTGGATACCAGATTCTTTGGAAGGACAATTAGAAGATGAAAACGCAATTGCTGCAAGAACTACTACAACCACCACAACAACTACAACTCCTTCGCCTGCACTTAATATTTAGAAGTTCTGGAAGAACTAATTCTTATAATTCTCGACCATCCTATTTTGGAAACGGACCATGCCCCAGAAATGTTCAATATGGCACTTTATAATCTCCTAATGAAGGTTCAAATCCTATACAACTATTATCAATGATACTTTAAATAAATAATATTTTCAAAAAGGAATGCCAACTTAACAGGTAAATTTTAATAATTTTTTATAAATTATAAAATTTTTTTTATATTTTTTTTATAAGTTGTCATCAATTTTTAAAAAAATTTTTTTTTTTTACGTAATCAAATTAATTATTTTTATTTTTTTATGATTTTTACGTTTTTATAAAAAAGAATAACTTTTTTTTTTTTTTTTTTTTTTTTTTTTTAAACGGAAATCATTTTAAATTTTAATAATTGATTTATTTATATTTAATATCGATGCGCATGACGTCATAATATTGTAAAATATTTAATTAACTATTTATTGACAAAAAAATAAACAAAAAATACGACAAAATTTTCTTATTTTATTTAATAATGCCATTATTATTATCATTATTATTATTATTATTATTATTATTATTATTATTATTAATGTTATTATTATTATTATTGATGTTATTATTATTATTATTAATGTTATTATTATTATTATTAATGTTATTATTATTATTATTAATGTTATTATTATTGGTAATGATGGTCACAAATCGTGTTTACGAATTTAAAACTGAAAATTTAACAAACGTTCACGCGTAACAAAATCCATAATATAAAACGAAAACAGATCTCAATAAAATAATAATAATATTAATATAAAATAAATAAAATCCACAAATTAATTTTAATGAACTATGGTTAAAATTATTTATTTTAACCTTTGAAAGTTTTTTAATAATAGTTATTAATAAAAAATCATTTATGTACATAAATATACACAGGAAATTTTACATTTGAAAAATAATTTTTAATTTTAATTTTTTATTTTTAAAATTCTCACTCACAATCAGCTCAGGTTTAATATTTTCTTTTCTTTTCTCTTTTTTTATTTAAAAAATTATTATTATTATTATTTTACTTATTTATTTATTTAATTAAATCGATTCGGATAAGAAAATTTTTATTTAAAGAAAAAAATAATAATAATATTATTCAATAAAAAAAGAAAATCTTATAAATTTTATTTAAATCGTTTAATTTTTCTTTTTTTTTTGTTTTGTTTTTTTAATATAAATTAATTAATTTTTTCATAATTAAAAAAAATTACGCCATTTGTTTTTTTTTTTGGTTTATCTGCGCACAAAAATTTAATTAACGCAATTCAAATTTATTCACGTGAAAATAAAAACAATGAGAGAGAGAAAAAAAAAATTTATCGTAATAAAAATAGATTTATTGTAAAAAGACGAGCTGTCATTATCGTTATCAATCACATGATTGCGTCATTTTAATATGTTTCAGATTTTTTTTTTCTTTGTGATTTACGATAAGAAATTAAATACCAAAAAAAAAAAAAATGATGGTTTTACAATTATTGTTAATCGTATCGTTAATTATTTTTCAGGTACAATAAATAATAATAATAATAATATATTATTATATTAATAATATATTTTATTACGTTACGGTTGTACTGAAGAGAGACGAAGAAACGAAAAAGTTGCAAGAAGGTTTTGGCCGATGTTTTTTTCATTATTATTACGGTAAGTTTTACTTATTTTTTACATTAATTAATAATAATAATAATTGATTTATTAATAATTTTAATTGGATTTATTTAAATTAGGACACGGACTTAATAAATAAAAATTCAACATCCGAAGTCGAAAACGAAAACTGAGAAAAAAACGGTAAAAATTTTTTTATTATGTATATATATACATAATCAAATTATTATTATTATTATTTTTTTTAATTAATAACGATTAATAGAAAAATTTTTAAAGGAAAAAAAATTAATATAATTTTTGTTTTCAAATTCCTGTTGCCGCCATAAACATCAGTTGCAGTTCAAAACACGTAATTTGCATTCATTTGTTAATTTTCCCCGCCAAATTTTGATTAATTTTAATTAAATAATAATAATAATAATAATAATAATTTTATTTATGTATTTGAAAATTGATTTTACGTTTAATAATAAATAAATGCGTTTACTCAAACTCCTGCGTTACAATGATGAATACAAATACATATGATTAAAAGAAAATTTAAAAAACCTTACGTTCCCGTATAATTAAAACAAACAAATGTGTTTTTCTTAAAATGAATTTTTTTCATTACGAATCAGTTTTGCTTTCATTGGCTGATTAACGTCCATCATGTTAATACCGATTATTATCGTATCAATTGTTTTTTCTTTTTCCATTTTGGACGTAAGTAAATTTTTTCACTTAATAATTTAATTAAATTTAATTAATAATTAATTAATGACGTAATTACAATTAATTAGACGGATGAAATGGTTTTGCGTTCTGGTACAAGAACCGGAGGCGGTAAATATAATTTTATATTTTGTTCGTTATTAACATGTAAAATTTTTTATTTAAAATTTTTTTTTTTTTTTGTAAGATAAAAGAGGAGGCTGCGGTGGTGGGGAGGACCATACAAAATAAGAGTTACTGATGGGCCTGATAACACTGTCGTTTGGACATTTTACAAAGATAAATAATTCATGGAAAAATAAATAAAATCCCGTTGGAAATCATTCCTTCTCGACATTTTCTTGTTTTTGTTTTTCTTTTTTTTTTTGGTTATCAACAATGAATTTTTGTTTAAATAAATTATTTACGTCATCATAGCATTAATTAGTGTATTATCATTTTTTCTTTCAATTATAATCATGTTAAGGTCCCCAAAAAAAAAAATTTTTTTTTGTAAATATCGACCTCAAATAAAAAAAAAAGTGTGCAGACAATTGTTTGTGACGTCATAAACACGCAATTATTCACGCATCGGTAAATAAATATAATTAAAACTAATTAATGAAAATAACAAAAAAAATTTTTCTTTTAAAAAATTAAAAAAAAAAGGTCAAATGAATCGGAAAATTTTTTTTTTTTTTGTATTATTTTAAAATGAATCATTTAAATTCAATTAATTTTCACCATAATCGATTAGTTCGAGTCGACATTTTTTTGTAACTCGACATGTTTTTTTGGTGTATTTTTCTCGTAGTTTTATCTGCGGCGTTGTTTGCTGAAGAAGTGAGTTGCACTTATGTATTTGAATTTAATAAATATATCTCTCCGTGAAATTATTAATTAATAATAATAAAAAATTTTATTTTCGCTTTTAGATAGCAGCAGAACGTCCGCGATGTCAATGCCCTGCTTGCAGTAAATGAATTTTTTTTAATTTTTTCTTTTAAAAATTTTTTTTGTCATAATATGATTTTAATTTCAAATTTATTTATTTATTTGTTTTTTTAAAAACATAGAGAAAGCCAGAGAAGATAAAGCAAAAGAAGAAGCCAGAAAAAAAGCACCGCCCAAAAGAAAAAGAAGACCAACACCAAAGAAATGAAATAAATAACGACGAATCAATCACCTGATCAGTTTTTCAATTATTTAATACGGATAATTAAAAATTATTATTATTACCATTAATAAATTATGTACGTTATTAATTTTCTCTTTTCAAAACAAACATGATAAATAAATAAATATATTTACGACGCATCAGCATACAAAAATCAATGTTGTTTAAATTGAAAATTCACACATTTTTCTTCCTTTTAACTTTTCCTGGGTTTTATTAAAATTATTACATAAAAATTTATGTATTTATGTAAGTAAAACATTTAGTATTAATTATTTATAAAAAATAAAAACTTTTACGCGGATTAAAAATTTTCTTTTAATCGTTTAAAAAAAAAAACAATTAATTTTAATTGTTAAAATTTATTTTGTAAAAGTTTATTATTATCATTATTATTATTATTATTATTATTATTATTATTATTATTATTATTATTATTATTATTATTATTATTATTATTTATTTAGTAATTAATTAATTTCTTTGTTTTCTAGGGTACAAGTTTTTCGAACGAGATTTTTTTTTTTTGTTTTCGACGACAGCATTCAACAGCAAAACAAAACAAAACAAAAGAGATCAATTAAAAAAAAAAAAACTTGTTAAGGAAATTTTTGTGACGTCATTCCTTTTTTGTTGTAAATTAGAACAAATAAAAATGTCGTCTGCGTTGTTGTTAATTTTTTTTCACGCTCGGTTGATTTGACTATAAAAAAAAAATTTTTTTTATTATTTTTTCATTTTATTTCGTTCGATTGTTGGCCTTTCATCAACCGCCGAAATGATTTTCTGGGCGATTTTTCTCGTTACTTTATCGGTTGCCATATTCACGGATGAAGTAAGTTGTAATTTAAATAAATAAATAAAAAAAAGTATTTAGCAGAAGACACTTTTTTTTAAAATTAATTTCTAATATAAAATTAAAGTGTATGATAATTTCTTAACAAATTTTTTTTTTTTTTTTATTAGGCTATGGCAGCTCAAACAAGTTCCTGCAGCGGAAATTGTAGATGTGGAGGTAATAAATCATTTAATTAAAATATTTTAAACGAAAAAAACGATTAAATTTATTTATTTATTGTTAATAACAGGTAAAAAAAAGAGCCAAAAAGGCGATGCACCTAGAACAAGAAGCAGAAGAAGTAGTCCGCGCAATTTTCAATCTTTAGATTGACCAACATAACACCCACATATAACCAAATTGACCAATTCAACCAGATTGACCAACTCATACAAAATTTATTTTTCTTTCTTTTTTGTCTTTCGCATTTAAAAAGCGACGTTTAAAAAAAATTTTATTTTATTCTAGAATTTTCGTTTAAAATTAAAAATTAAATTTAAGCATATTTAAACTTATATTAAATTTTATTACCTAAAATTTATTCCTTGTTGTAAAAATAATAATAATAATTTTTCAATAACAAATAAGTAATTTTTTTTTATTTTTGTTTAAAATTAAATCGTTCATCTCCACTTTTCGCATTAT